TCCCTGTCTCTGAAATGATTTTTAGCTCGATCACTCAAGAACTCTCGATGATGACCTTCATCGACTAAACGAGCTACCTCCTCCCTCAATTTCTTGTAGTCTTCGGTTTTGTGAGCATGGGTTCCATGGTCTTTTCATATTTGATTAGGGTTTCTTTGAGACGGGTCGGACTGTAAGGGTCTGGGCCATCTAGTATCTTTAATCCGACCAATGGCTGATACAATGCCTGATACATCGACACTGAAGTTATATTCTGATAACCACGTGCTTCATTGGGCTCGATGTGTTTATCGAAGCCAATCTTACTCATGAGCCCTTGGGAGTTTTGTCCTCGATCATTCCGAACAGGATTACGTCCCGGTCCACTATTTTTATGATCTACGCTGTATGGTTGGTACCGATCTCTGTTTGATCGGGGCTCTCTGTCGTTGTCTCTTTGAATCCTGCCTTCGGATCTATTCGGATAAACGGAACTAGAAGATGCTCCCAACTGATCATCCTTGACTATGATATTTGACTGGTATCAGTTATGTACATCGGCCCAGGTCACAACTAGATATTCAATCAAATTTTGTTTAAGTTGTCGTGATACTATCAAACTTTGCTCGTTCAAACCTTGGGTGAAAGCTTGGACAACCCAATCATCGGTGCCCGGGGGCAGGTCCATACGTTCTATCTGGAACCGAGATACGAATTCCCTTAGCATTTTGTTGTCCTTTTATCTCACTTTGAAGAGGTCCGATTTCCTACCCGCGACCTTTATTTCCCTAACATGTGCCTTTACGAACGAATCAACAAGCATGGCGAAGGAAACGATGCAATTGGGCGGCAAATTGTGGTACCATGTCATTGCCCCCTTCGATAGAGTTTCTCCGAATTTTTTCAACAAAACAGATTCAATTTCATCATCTTCTAAGTAATTTATTTTATTGCGCATGTATAAGAAGTGACATGCTCATTAGGATCAGTGGTTCTATTGTACTTGGGAATTTTGGCATGCGGAATTTCTTCAGAATGGGCTTCGGAGCCTCACTTGGTGGGAAGGGCTTCTGTACGAACTTCTTCGAATCTAAACCCTTTAAAATCGGGGGTGCCCCCAGTATTTGATCAACCCATGAGTTGTATGTTTCTACCTTTTTATCATTAGCCTCAATTTTCTTTTCTCCTGATTCGATCTATTTAGTAAGCTCCTCGAGCATTTTCATTGGGGTCAGTTCCCGATCCATTATCGTTTGATTTTCCCAATATAGGCCCGACCCTGTGAACAACTTCCTATGATGCATCGAGTTCGATTCTGCTTGGTGCTCGATTCTGATTTTGGAGCTGAGCTATCGCAGCTTGCTGAGTCTGCAACATTTCAAATATCATACGAAGGCTAATCCCGCCTTCTTCACAACTCTGTGCATTCTAATCGGTTGCCCAGACGTCTCTGCGGACGTTATTTTCAGGATTGGCGCCTAAATTTCCATGAATCGCAACACGAGAATTGATATCGACATGATCTACGGACTGTGGTCCATCGGGATTGATTGGAGGTACTCCGTTTCCCAGGGGGACTATGCGCTCTTTCTCGCCATGAAGACCAAGTCCGGTGTCTGTGTGAGTGGGCACTGCCTGAGAGTTTGACATGTTGATTTCTGAAATCAAAGACACTTACGAGAACAAATGTAAAATCAATGTGTGTTATGAGGATTAATACGAGGCAATCACTATTATTCTTAGACCCACGGTGGACGCCAAACTGTTTACCCTAAAAATTTGATAACGATTAAACTTATAATGTGATTTTAAGGATACGTGATTTAATCTAATACTAATGGATAAATATAGAGATGAACGATGGGAATTGACTGTAAAATAAAGCAAACCGACTTTGCAGCGTAATTAAGCTCTCGAGCTCGTGTGCCCTCGAACAGATTAATGCCAGAATAGTAAAAGATACAATAAGATGATGAACAAAAATGTAAGCTAGGAAATGTTATATTGCTTTGATATTCATGAATGTAAGAATGTCTACAAATGATGGGGACTCCTCTTTATATAGTAGAGGAGTCCTAATTATGGTATAACTCTAATTAAATAAGTAAATTCCATGATTAACCTAAACAACCGCCCTTGATCTGATCTTTTCGGGGATTTTCGCCGTGATCTTCGGCCGGTTACAGATGTCTTACCTTTCTGTTATTGCGCTTCGTTCGGAGTCTGCCATATATGGTCTCGATCGCTGTTGGCCTAGATCTCGACGAGCACCTCGATTCTCGAGCTTGATACTTTATTTTCGTGATCAGACCTGATCCATTACGAGACTGACCCTCGACGTGATTCCCTGGTCTTCGATTAAATGGCAAAATCGGACAGGTCCTATTTTAACAGTATACAATTACACTTTTCTTAAACTGAGTTTGCAGGCTATTTGTGCTATTTACAAGTCGTAGGACTTGATTTTTTTAGTTAGTGTGTATTTGGACATCAATGTATATGGAGTGTATATACATGGTTGTGTGTATAAGTACTACGGTAATAATTACGCAATACAGTAATTCAAATCTGATTGTTTGTCATGAAGTAATATATAGTAAATCTCAGCGGCACATTTGGTTGCAAGAGTAATATCACATAGTCAATTACATATTTTCAAATTTTGAAAATAAATATTAATTATCACAAAATTGGATAGTGTTCTTATATGGACACATAAATATATTTTAATTGGTGAAAATATACATGTATCTAAGAAACATCACATATCCTTTATTGTTAGTCATACATTTTTTTGGTTATAAATATGCTATTAAATAATTGTAGCTGGTAACTGATATTGCAAAGAGCAAATGCTATTTTCCAAAAGTAAAAACTTTAATGTGAATTTATTAATTGTAAATCCAATTACATATTTTAACCAACTCATGTAATATAATCTAAAATATATATATTTGTTTTATTTTAGCATCAAAAGAGGAGTAGGTTTGAAGAATAATTCGTATTAAAAATATAAATATATAAAAGAGAAATATAAAGAATCTCCTTTTGAGTGTGATTAAATGGAAGTATGTAATTACTAGTAATTCTAAACCCTCTCCTTGAGAATTTGAGAGCATATTTAATTAAACTTCTTCCGTTGCATTCAAGTCTATTTATACGGTTTGTTTAGCTTTTAAATAGAAATCATCAAGTAAGACCTACGATAAAATTTCAGAACTATTCCAAATTAAATAACTCAGCAACTCCCAGATTAATTAAAATCATTGTAAATAACTTATGTTTTTCATAAGTTGTTGTAGACCAGTCCAACATTAATTTGCGTCTGTAAAAGTTAGATTTGCATAACATGTATGATAATTAAAATGGTTTATACAAATTGCAGATTGTACTATATTTATTTATTTGAGTGTAATCTAATTTTTCATCACCAAATTTTATTGTAACTTGTCTTTAATTCACCTAAAGATTTTGGTTATAAATAGCATTATTTTACTTTCATCTAACATCCCAGGAACAAATCTATACATCAATACATAAATTCTAGTCAATCAAAAAGAGGAATTAAGTACATTATATTACAAATCATCATGAATTTCGCAAAGGTTCTAGTGGCAGTTTTCCTAACTGTAATTTTTGTAGCAAATGTTGGAGCTATTGGTGAGATGAAAATGTCTTGCAAAGCAAAATGTAAACTTCTATGTATCATCAATCTTTTTGCATGGAAGATTGCTTGAAGCAATGCCATCATTCTATTTCTCCTAAAGCATTGAACTGCAAGCTTACTTGTTCAACTGAACATTGCTCTAAATTCAAAGAAGGTATGATTAATTGTCCAGTATCATTCTTTATTCCATAATTCTTTATGTTTATCTCGTTAATGTAACTTAATCTATGATTTACATTTTTAACAAATTCTTGTTAGATGCGAAGCTAATGGGAAGCTGCTTGGATGAATGCTCAACAAAATATTGCACCTAGAAGGCATGCAATCTTATGCTACTTGTTTAGCAAAAGCAAATTATTTGAAAACAAACTAGAAAAGATTTGCTATCTTGATGATTCCAATTGTAATCAAGTTTTATGTTTTTAATGAAGTACTCCAATATTTTTTCACAACTTCATCTTTTGGTTTTCAGCCTCCCTTACCATGACCCCCTAATAAAGAGAAAGTAACTAATTTCTATATCAACGCATATGATTAATTTGCTCTTATTTCTACGAGATCGAATATCCAATCGATATGGTTCCAATCAAACTTCCTTGCAGGGACGGAATCAGAATTTTAATTTTATGGACTCTTAATTTTAGAACGATAATTTTGAGGGTTAATAATTGAGTTTTAAATTTAATATATTTAATAAAAATTTTAATTTTTATTTAAGTCCATCCACCCAAGGTGTTCACCTTCTATGACGGTGAGGGGTTTGTCATCAACCCCTAGATATATATTAAAGCAAAAGGAGAATTACCATGGAGGGGGACAAAAACCTAATCTTCAGTTCCTAAGATGGCACACTAGCTAATATCCTTGCTGCATGTTATTAACAAGACTTCAGGAGCTAAGTTAGAAGCTATACTATCTAACTAGTAAGCATCTCCTCCTACTACAAACTCAACCAATACACTTTAATCGCATGAAGGTAATGATTCTCCTACTCCAAATCCTCCTTGTGGATTCTATCAACAAACACATCTCCCAATCACCCCTAGATCCAGCTGCAACTAAAGACTCTTTCATGCAATTTGATGAACCTTTACAAGATATACCTAACCTCAAGATTTGCTCTCAATATAGCCAAGGCATCATTGAAAACCTACAAATTCATCTATTCGTAGATGACCTCTATAGGATATACCAACTTTGGAAATACTCTCTCATAATTAAACTAATGGGTAAAAGAGTCCTCCACCAATATCTTAAAAGAAAACTCTGCCAATTATGGAAACAATCTGAAAACTTTAACCTAATGGACCTTGGGGTTGACTACTTCATAGTTAAATTCACCAAGGAGGAAAATATGGCCAAAGTTCTAAGTAATGGGCCTTGGTTTATTAATGGTTTTCACTTTTTGGTTCAAAAATGGGAACCTCACTTCGTAGCCAGTGAAGCCAAACAACTTAAGTCTGCTGTATGGATTCGTCTTCCTCAACTCCCTACTGAATTTTATGACTCTACCATATTACAAAAGATTGGTAATAAAATAGAAAAATTACTTAGAATTGATGCATGTACCTCCTCTGCCCTAAGAGGTCGTTATGCTAGACTCTGTGTGGAAGTCTCAATGGAATCGCCAGTTAAACCATTTGTATACATTGGAAATTACAAACAACAAATTCAATATGAAGGTGAAAATTTTCTATATAAAAATTGTGGTAGGCTAGGTCACAACCAAACACAATGCTCGGTCACTCTACAAAATACCAATTCCCAAAAGCAACAGGTAAATAAGATCACTACTACACAACAAGGAGTCCAAAGTGATTGTGTCACTACTACACAACAAGGAATCCAAAGTGATTGGGTAACTGTCACGTTCAACAAGAAAAAACATGCTGGCTCAAAGGCAATCCCAAAAGCAAAGGTATCCAATCCAGGTAAAAGATCAAATATCAATGATCTAGACTCAGGTATGCCCTTTAATTTTCATAAATCTATTTCTCAAAAGTTTAAATATATGGCAAAAAATGTATCTGCTTTCCCATCTCCTGACACAAAGGTCAGATATTCATCTAAAAATATAACAAATGCTAAAACATCTTCCACAAATATTGGCAAGTCTACAAATTCTTTTGAGATATTAGAAAATGAGCCCATAGTTTTCGAAACAAGCTCAATAACAAATCCACCAAAAATCCCTAATACCCACTGTATGCAAAGCACATTACACATGAATAAGGCTAAGGAAGTATTGGTTTCTCCACCCCAATCATTAGATGAACCTTTCATAAAAAACAAAAACTTAGAGTATCAAACTACCCCTATGTTAGAGGAAATAACTAATGCCAATTTACATATTAATCCCAACAAGCCTTCCATCCCAATACGTCCAAATTACACATGGACTTGCATGCAAAGGTTAATTGCCAAATGGCTGAACTGATAGTTTATATGAGTCCACCAAACTATAGAGTACCGGGTCCTCTATGAGTTTCCACTGAGAACGTTAATGAAACAGTAAGTAAATAAGATATGGAGTTTTACGTGGAAAAATCCCTGCTCAAGGGGATAAAAAACCACGACCTACACTGGTAGGATTTCAACTTCACTATGAGCAACTTAGATTAACCTATGCAATCTAGGAATTAGACTCTTAATCCCTAACTAACTCGTAATACACCTATTACAAGATACTTTGCAATACACCTATTACAAAGACTTCAACTCATGACTAACTCTAGTCACGACACAAGTACAAAGGGTTTATGGTTTTACAAAGGGGTTCCTAAGCAACGCGTCTAGCTAAGAAAATTAGGAATTATAATGAATAACAATTACAAAGTTACAACTCAACTAAGGACAACAAACTACAAGATTTAGAAACTGGTCCGTAGTAGCGTTAAACTTTGTTCTTGATGCACTTGAGAATTGAATGCACGACTCTCAAAAGGCTTGAATGTTTGAAGTTAATTCTCAAGTGTTCAAATGATATTTTATTGTAATTATCTTGTTAATACACCTTTGATGACATCACTTGAATGATGTAAACACTTGGTTGGTCAAATGACAAGTGACTGCAGAACTGTGCTGCACTATTTCTGTGGCAGTCACTTTTCAACTATACACAGTTGACTTTCGTACTGCTGTTAGGGAAACACAAGGGATCATGTCCCTGTGTTAGTTCTCTATCTTCTACAGTTGTAGCAGTTCACATTAGTTGGAGTCCGTTGATTAGCAATGTAACCAAGTGTGTCAGGTTCCCTATCTGGTTCTTGACAGTAAGTTTGTTAGATCATTAAAATATAAGGCTAAGACATTGAAAATCCATTAATTTTTCCCTTTTTGATGATGACAAACTTAGACATTGATAACATATTTTTAGAGCAGAAGTAACCAGATGAAGCAACAGGAACTTCACAAGTTCCCCCTGACTTTATGCTTCCCACTTAATTAGATCCCTGTTTCATTCAATTATACTTCCCCCTTTTGGCATCATTAAAAATACACAAGCATGCAAAACAACACGAAAAAGTCTGGCCTAGCTAACTTATGCCACATATGTGCACACAACATGATAGAAAAGAGAAACAGAGAACATAAGCATTTAGATAGAAAAAGAGGATAGTTTATATATATAAAACATATGCCTTTGCTATAAAGCAAAGGCAAAGATTGGACTGTTGACATCAGGAGTAGTACAAATACATCCCATCCACATCAAAAACAAAAAGAAATAAAAACAACTGCCAAGTCATTAAAACAAGAACAGAAAATCCAAAGACTGGTCACTGAAAGGGGTTGCTTATGGGGCACTAGGAGTAGAGGGCTTGGAAGCTCTAGCAAGAGTTTGAAGAACAAGATCTATTTGGGCATTCACCGGCATTTTCTAGGTGAGCAGTTTCTCTTTCAGGTTCTCCACTTGTGCACTGATATCAGCATTTTCTTTTGTCAAAGAGTTATCTCCTCATTTAACCCTGGGGCCCCTTGGGCCTGTTGACCTTCCAGGATAGCGTTCCTTGCCTTCAACCTTCAAATCTCCTCAGTTGCACTATTTTGAGCATTGATGAGCTGAGAGATTTTCGATGTACTACGTAACCCCCTATTCTTCTCGATGCACTCACATTCCTCCAAAGTTGTTTGAGAGAAGGTATGCTTCTTGGTCCCTACTTTGCATTGTCCTGGTGGAACTTTCAAGAACTTAAACACGCGCATAAGAAGAAACCCATATGAAAGACCATGATTGACATCCTTGAAAATTGCTACCTTCTGCATGTGTTCAATCATGATGGAAGGCAAGCTAACGGGTGTAAATCCATCCAGTTGCTCCATTAGATACAAGTCAGACCTGGAAGTCATGGACCTCCTCTCAGCACGGAGTAGAAGAACCTTATTCACCAGCTCGAAGAGCAATTGATAAACAGGGAGTAAGGCCTTCTTGTGAACCCGGTCCTCTTTTTGGTTTGCATTATCCTTCACGATAACATTTTCAAAGTTTGACCCACATACATCTTTCACAGTAGACACACCAACTGTAGGGACTTTCAGAATGTCCCCAAGCAGACCCATATCAAACATGATATCCACTCCATTAACCAAGGCACAAATGTGGTTGGTATCAACAGGAAATAGGTTGGCATAGAAGCTTTGAACCTCATCCTCATACACCTTGGGTGCATCCATTTGGAATAAATGCCCCCACCATTGAAACTCAACCATCTCAATTACTTGTCTCATGCCAGCCATATCAGAAATTTTTGGGTCAAAAGTGCGACCCAACAAGAGCTTTTGGTGCCTCAATCATTCTATAGCAAACCTAGTCTCACTTCTCACTTTCTTTGCCGAACTAGGTTCCTTTACATGTTCCAACTTTCTCTTTCTAGACTTCACAACACTTGATTTTTCTTTTCCACTAGACTTGACCAAAATATCCTCATTAGAAACTGATGGTTCATTCACAACATCTTTCAACTTTGAACTAGGGGTTGTAACATTCTCCACTGAAGCAGATTGCTTCTTCTTCTAGGACCTTTTCACCAAGGAACTAGGTTCCTCTGTTACTTCCTCATCCACTTCCACCACAGGGACACGCTTATCACATACTACCTCACCATTTTTCACCAACCTGTTACATATCGCGTTTTCGTACGTTAAAAGTTTCGACTTCAATTAATTGACATAGACTAGGGGATGAGATTATCTTGAGGTTAACGTATTTACTCTATTTATAACAAGCGAGAAGTAAGTGTCATAAAGGATAAAGGGTACACGAATTAAAGAAAACGAGTTTTGTTGAAGGTGGCCAATTTGGGATAAAATACGGGTCGAGCGACAATACCTGATAATTATGAATTAGTAACATGCAAGGTACCATATTACCACGGTAGTATAATGTATAAAGTATATTAAAAATAAGTTAAATTTTATGTAATTTGAGGTAATTTTTAAATTATGCGGTAATTGGTTAATTATCGGGTAACGAGACATTACCCAATTAACTAATAAGTGGATAAAAACTTAATAATTTACACCCCAAGTAACGTGGCAGAATAAAATGACTCTTATTCATTCTAAGTATTAGGTGGCTACCTAAGAATACATAGAACTTGATAGGAAAACATTTAGACACAATTTGATTCCATGTCTCATTTAGAGAAAAGGAACCACAGAAAATGACCAAAAATCTTAAAAAAACCTAGCCTTTATTAGTTGAATATTTCAAGAACAGAAGCTCAATTTCTTCAACGAGCAGAAGCTTGAAAATTCGATTAAAACATTTCGACAAGCAGAAGCTTAATTCGTTCAGATACTTCAAAGAATATAAGCTTAATTCCATTCAAATTTTGCGGTTCTAAAGGAGTACGATACAATCTTCTCCAAGAATATTATACGGATTTTTCCCTACTCCAGGTATGTTAAGGCCATCCCTTTTTTCTTTTGGCATGGTCCAAATTATACAGAAGAAACGAGCAAACGCACGGTTTTCATAAATTACTCTATTCATAGAAATACTAGGGGTGTCTATATTCTTGATTCCCCATGAGAATTATTATTATCTTATGTTCATGGGTATCAGAATAATACGCAGTTGAAAATGTTATCCGGAAGGAATATTGAGATTATTACGTATTTTTCATGCATTTCACCTATTTATACATGTGCATCGACCCATGACCAGATGGCGTTATATACACGTATATGTAAATATATGTATATGGGATATGGGAAAAGGTTACGTCGTTATATACGCACCACCACCTGATCAATTGGTATATGTTGATGATGTTGCCCACAGTGGCCGAGACGATATGACGGGATTCCCTTAGTGGCTTGATGATATTATGTACACTCATACCTATGCATGACACGACATTTATACGCATGTGCATGACATTATAAATGTTTCAGAATTTACAAAGTTACTCATATTTAAAAATGTGTTTCTTTATTTCATGTTTCATCTATGTCTTTTACGTACTAATTTTCATGTCTTATATACTCAATACATTTTTCATACTGATGCCCTATTTCACGGGGCATGCGTTTCATGCCCGCAGGTACAGGTAGGCAAGCTGACGGTCCCCCTTCTTAGGGCCCCTGATCAGCTAGAGTTGGCGGGCTCCACTTGATCCGGAGCTGCTTTTGCTTTTGGTACGATACATTTGTGTATATATATGGGTATGACGTGGCTCAGTCCTGTCTTTGTACAATTATGTTTCTATTAGAGGTTTGTAGATAGTATGTCTATTTGGGTTGTATGTGGCCTTGTCGGCTTTCAGTTTTAGATATATAGTTGTTTATAGCAGCCTTGCCGGCTCACCCACTATATTCTGTATGTATACGTGCATATGCCTTGTTGGCAGGTTTCCTTCATGTATGTTATTTTCGTAATTCAGCAGATGTTATTCAAGTTCATATCTTAGACACATGCTTTGGGGTGTTTGATAGGTAGGACTCAGGCACCCGTCGCGGCCCATCAGTTTGGGTCGTGACAAAAGTGGTATCAGAGCAGTTCTGTCCTAGGGTTGTCTACAGACCGTGTCTAGTAAAGTCTTATAAACATGAGGCTACAGGACATATAGGATGTTATCCTCTCTTTTTATCCTAGATCGTGTAATATAAGAAATTCATGTTCTTAACGATATGTTATATTTTCAGCGATGCCTCCAAAGACTACAACCGCCCAAAAGGGAAAGTTCGTGGCTGGTGAGACTACTTGTCGAGCGCCACGAGTTACCAGGGCTCAGGGAAAGTCTCATAGTGAGATTTTATCTCAGACTTCACATACCCCTCTCTTTCCAAAAGAGTTCCGAGGGGCACCAGCTCCAACGCCTGCCCCTGTACATTCAGCACCTCAGCCGAATGCACCGAGTCAGGAGATGAGAGATGATATTCAGCTATTAACCCGATTGGTAGCCGCGCAAGCTCAGCGTTAGGAAATAGGTATTGATCATGCAGATAAGTCCATCAGTGCGAGGGTTCGTGACTTAATTAATTTAGACCCTCCGGTATTCACTGGGGCAGATCCGAACGAGGACCTTCAAGTATTTATTTATAGAGTGCAGAGGACGTTATGGGTAATGAAGGCCACTGCGACTGAGTCAGTTGAGCTAGCTTCCTATAGACTCCAAGATGTTGCAGTTAATTTCTACGAGTCTTGGGAATTGTCCAGAGGTGAGAATGCCCCTCCAGCAGTATGGCAGGAGTTTACAGAAGCTTTTCTTCGTCATTAACTGTGACCAGAGCTTAGGCGGGCCAGAGTTGATAGGTTTTTTACCCTACGATAGGGTAACATGAGTGTTCGGGAGTACAGTCTTCAGTTTGATTTGTTAGCTAGGTATGCTCCCACTATTGTATCTAAGATGGAGGATCGGGTTCACCAGTTCGTGATGGGATTAGAGCCTCACTTACTTAACAATTGTATGTAGGTCTCACTTTAGCTAGACATGGATATTTCTCGTATTTAGGCGTACGCTCAGGGTGTAGTGGAGCGTAAATAGAAATAGAGGGCCGATCGTGAGAATAATAGGGACCATCATAAGAGAGCGAGGTCTTCGGGTCCTTCTGGTGAGTTTCGAGATGGTCAGAGGCAGCAGTACCTGAGGTATCCAGCCCAGCCATCGACTAGCGCGCCCTCTCAGTTTGGCGGTAAGGGATTTGATCGTTCCTCATATTCAGGGTTTGGTCAGAATTTTAGGGCCTCAGGTTCTTAGTATAGGGGTGAGTCAAATTAGATGAGGCCGCCCTTGCCACGATGTACTCAATGTGGTAAGCACCATATCGGGCAGTGCTGTATGGGATTAGGTGTTTGCTATACTTGTGGTTATCCGGGACACGTTATGAGCGATTGTTCAGTGAGAGGTGATGTAAGCATAGCTCAGCCAGCGGGATTTGTAGCTTGTTCGTCATCATCAGTACAGCCCCCTAGGTAAGGTCCACAAGCACCAATGAGTCGTGGTAGAGGTAGAGGCGGAGCATCTAGCTCGAGCAGTCCTCAGAACCGTATTTATGCGTTGGCAGGACAACAGGACCAGAAGTCATCGCCTGATGTTGTTACAGGTATATTATCAGTCTCCTCATATGATGTATATGCGTTGATTGACCCAGGTTCCACCTTATCATACGTTACTCCGTTAGTTGCTCGTAAGTTTGGAATAAAACCTGAATTGGTTAAACCATGAGGTGTCTACACCGTTTGGACTCAGTGATAGCTAAGCGAGTATATAGGGGTTGCATAGTAGTAGTTTTTAGTTGATCTACCGTAGCGGACCTAATCGAGTTGGATATGGTATAATTTGATGTTATAATGGGTATGGATTGGTTGGCTTCTTGTCATGCCAACGTTGATTGTAGATCAAAGATAGTCCGATTTCAATTTCTAGGGGAGCCTGTTTTGGAGTGGAAAGGTAATACAGAGCCGCCGAGAGGTAGATTTATTTCCTATCTAAAGGAAAGGAAGATGATCAGAAAGGGTTGTATTTATCACTTAGTTCGGGTTCAGGATGTGGAAGTA